CTGGAAACGTCCGGTTTATCGCAGTTTACTGCCCACGTCAGTGTACCACAAGCATCGGATTAGGAATCCAATTCAAGAAGGACCTGACCGCCATCACCCATACTAGCTCCCGATTGATCGTTGGGGGCGACCTGAACGCCCGCCATGAAGCTTGGCGGAACTACCAGCGGAACCGGAACGGATGTCTATTGTTCGACCACGCACAACATGGACTGTACACTGTGCAATTTCTGGACGAACCAACTTTCATCTCTCCGACGGGAAATCCCTCCACGCTGGACTTCTTCCTGTCGAACATCGGACTATCCAAGCCGGAGGCGCACAACGATCTCAGCTCCGACCACCAACCGGTGGTAACTGAAGTCGGTGTCAACGTGGTTCCTGCTAGAAGCTGCCTGCGTAATGACTACCACCATGTCAACTGGGTGCAGTACGGACGAATGGTGGACAGCAACATCGATGAAAATCCACTGCTCGACACCGTAGATGACATCGACCGGGCGTTGGAAGGACTCCAACAGGCCATATCCGAGGCTGACGAGACATGCGTTCGACGAGTTCCTGTCAGGGGTAAGTTTGTTGCTATTGATTCCCACACCCATTTATTGATTCGATTGAGAAATGTGCGTAGACGCCAGTTTCAGAGGACTGGAGACCTGGGCAAAAAACGTGTAATGGCCGATCTGAACAGGCAGATTGCTTCCAAAATGGACTCACTCCGAAATGAAAGTTACGGGCGTGTTGAAGGCTCCCGGGTTTGACGATATATTCAACTTGATCTTGAAGAGACTCAGCATGAAAGTGCAGTCTCTTCTAACCGCTATCTTCAACAGATGTTTGGAACTGCACTACTTTACAAGCATCTGGAAAGTAGCAAAAATCATACAAATCCGCAAGCCCGGTAAGGATCCAACATTGCCTTCAACCTACAGACCAATCATCCTCCTTTCAGCGCTGAGCAAATTGTTCGAGAAACTCATTCTCAATCGATTGCTCAAGTTTGTCGAGGAACACAACACTCTCCTTCCGGAACAGTTTGGTTTCAGAAAGGGACACTCCACCAATCACCAGCTAGTGCGGGTGATGAATAACATCCGAAGTAACAAAGCTGCATCAAAGTCCACAGCCATGGCCTTGTTAGACGTCGAGAAAGCGTTTGATAATGTCTGGCACAATGGGCTTGTATTCAAGCTTTGTAACTTCAACTTTCCATTACATCTGGTTAAAATCACCCGACCAAAGGTCGTTTAAGGTATCGTTGAATGGTTGTCTTTCCGACCCGTTTTCCATCCCAGCAGGAGTCCCGCAAGGCAGTCTGCTGGGCCCCTTGCTTTACAGCATTTACACTTCCGACATTCCTCCCCTTGGAGACGGTTGCGTGTTTTTCCTGTTCGCAGATGATACCGCAATAGCCGTCAAAGGAAGGATGCCTCGCGAAATAACGAACAAACTTCAACGATGCCTTAACACCTTTGCTGATTATGCCACCACGTGGAAAATCAAAATCAATGCCTCCAAAACACAAGCGATCATGTTCCTCCATCGGCAATCGCCCAAACTGAAACCGGCTCCATCTTGTACTGTAATCATGGATGGCACAAGGGTTGAGTGGTCCGCCGAAGTAACCTATCTCGGAATGTTGTTCGATGAAAAGCTCCTCTTCCGTTCGCATGTGGAGAAAACCGTAATTAAGTGTTCTGCCTTGGTTAGGTGTCTGTATCCGCTGATTTGCCGCAGATCCCGCCTCTCAAGGGTGAACAAACTGGCCGTCTACAAACAAATCATAGCACCTGCGATCCTCTACGCAGCTCCGGTGTGGGAATCATGTGCACAGACTCACAGGAACAAAATTCAGGTAGCTCAGAATAGAGTGCTGAGGATGGTTCTTGATCGTCCTTTCGACACTAGAATAACAAATTTACACGAAGAGGCAGGCATTGCCAAAATAGATTCCAAAATTGACGAAATTAAGACTAAATTTGCAGAAAAATGTAATTTATCAGAACATGCTTTGATAAGCAATTTGTATATAGTAGGTTAGGTGTATATAGTAGTTGTAGGTTAGTTGTAGTTGTAAATAGTAGTTATAAGTAGTCTCCTTTTTTCCAATTCAATACAAACCAATCCCACCAAGGTGGTCATACTTTCAAATAGGCCTGATAGGACTAGTAACTGTAAATAATAATTAAAATCTCAAATGAACTAAAGTTGAAAAGACGCATCTGTGTCACTTGAAAAATTCATAAATGTAAACCACACAAACACAAGAAATAAAGATTATTTTAAGTAAGTAAGTAAAGCCTCAACTCATTTTCGCTTCGGTCGCAGTGATGAGCAGACAGCAGAAGCAGCAAAAGCAGTCTTCTGGCTCGCCGTGGCGGTGTCAAACGTGTCTCCGGTCTGATCTACGAGGTGTGCCGAAGTTGTTCTTGGAAAATGTGATCCGTGATCCTGTCACCTATACTGAACACGCCAAGCGTAAACGGCCATCGATGTCCTCTACGCTTTGAAGCGAGAGACGAACTCTGTATCATTTCGGAGGTTAAATCATCACCAACTTTGGTAACGAAACGGCCCTTTTCTGGTCCAACAAGCTTATTACAGTAAAAAGTTAGAATAGAATTTATCTGCCTTGGTCCATACTCAGAACCACATACCCCCAACGACCACACAAAATGCTCTGCAGAGTTGTAATCTTGTAACCAAACTTTGAAGCAGGGGTGCAAGTGATTTTGATCGATTCTCTTCATCAACTTTTTATTTGAAAAAAAAAACTACAAATTTGGTACGCCTACAAATCAAAAACGGAAAGAGTTAAGATAATAGATGATTGATCAATTAAAAGAACTAAATTTTCTTCACATTTGTTCCGTGCTTTAGCGGTCCTACGTCAAGCTCCCGTTCGTGCCCCTTGGAACAGACCCTTTTACTTTTTTTTTTGGAATAATTTGAATTATTATTAAAAAAATCGATCAATTTACACGCATTCTTGTTTGACCAAATTTTGATCGTAACACCCTTTATTATGAAGAAAATTTTAAGAAAACACCAGAAAGAGGTCTAAAATGAACTCTTAAGGGATTCTAAGATGATTCAAGCAAATTCTTCAGAAAATATTGAAGAAATTCTGTGAAGATAAGGGTATCAAGATGATTCCAACATAGAATTTATTTCGCGGTATTTTTGTCCAATAAAAAATCAATATTCAGTATTTGTAAATATTTGATAAATCAATAACTTCGGGTACGCAAAGCTACATCGTTTTTACACTGTGAAAAATCGTACTTAGAATGAGCCAATGTAAACGAAACTGGAAACAAGAAATATTTCACATGGAACCGTTAAACAATAAAACCATAATGTAAACCGAAACGAGAAACAATCGAAACTTTATATTACAAAAGATTGACTGAGGGAAACGAACACAACGAAGTACAAATGGTCAATAACAAGTTAGCAAATCGCCACCAGTCACACATGTACATCGAATAGAGACTGAGTATATGATTACATTAGAGTTGATATAGTGTTTTAGACAAAAAATACGGATCAACACTGACAGCCTGTATTGAGTTAGTTGTTTGTTTGTTTTTTTTTTCCAGATAAATACATGATTTCCAATTTTAATAAGGAATTGATTCACTCCAATCCAGAAGATGGGATGTTGTCACTCGGATGCGTAATGCGGAAAAACGATCGGAAATGATAATAATTTGCAGTAACTAAACGAGTTATAAGGTAGGCTGTCAAATTATACTTGGACAATCAACTCGACATCGATGTTTATGTTTTATTTTTTTTTTTTAGTTTGATATATAATATACGATATATGTACGTACGCCACACAATTTTGACAGGAAAACAAAACGAATAAGGTAAAGAGATGAACAGGAAAAGTCCAGATGTGATGAGTATGCTTTGAGCGGAAAAATGGATAAAAACAAAAAACGATAATGTCACATTCGGGAATGGTAATGTAAAAACAAAACAAACGGAAGGATGATTCGGAGTTTGTGTGGGTGTGTGTGTGTGTGTGTGTGTGCGAGGTATGAGTCGTAGTAGGCGAAGAATGTTAGTTGATTAGTATTTGTTAGGTTGGAGAAAGAGAAAAACAGGAAAAATCGAAGGCAAATTTGTTTCGGTTGAAGTTTTTGGTAAAATGAATGTTGATAAGAAAATTGTAAACAAACGATTAGCTAGAGAAGAGAGATTCAAATTTTTCACATTTGTTGTGTGTTTGTGTCGAGGGATTTGAAAATCGAAATGAAATAGAAGACGATGAGGATTGACATATATAGAGCTGACTCAGGGTTGGTTTTCCTCGGCTGTAGTGACGGAGTGTGATTTTTCGTTTGATTTTTGCATCTTGTCTTCGGCAGTCGACGGCAGTGGTTGTAAGTTGAGTGAAAAGGTGCCTAGGGTGGTATTGGTAAGCTCGCAGTGGGCCACGCACGCGGTCATGTAGCGTTTGGATCGGTGGCCTACTGCAAGTGCAGGAAGGCTTGCTGCTGTCAAACAAACATCGACGATTTGAGGGGTCTCACTGGTTTGTTTACTTTAAATTGGCATTGCACGCGTTTTTGTTTTGATAATTTTTTTTGTTTTCTTGTGAAGCACACTCTTTCACACGTACGGACACAGTAGGCGTTGTGAATTGGTGAATTGAAAAGAAGAAGGAAATGAAAGATAACGGTTTTTCGCACGGGGAAATGGAAGAAGAAAACGTGGACGACTGGAACAATGAAGAGATGAGGGGATCATAGAAGAATAGTCGCGCAATCGTTGCTTTTGGTTTCCTTTGGTTTTTACTCCGTTGGCGTTTGTCTTTTATTGTATTGTTCATGTATTCACTGGACACGTAGGAACGTTAGTGTTTTTTTGGTTGTATCAAAGCCATTTGGCTTTCGAACAGAGTTCCGCAAAGTCGGAATCACTTTCATAGGTTTTTCAATGTCCGATTATTGATCTGATTGGTTTTGTAGCATATCACACAGACTCACCATTTTGTAATCGTCGATTTTCGAGATCGATCTAAGGAACATGTTGACGCTCACTACTGTAGCCTTATCATCTAGTATTTTTTTCACAGTATTGGTAAGTGTGCGGGCATCACATACACAACAGCAATTATGGAGGAAGGAGATAATGTTCGATAATCATAAAATAACGTATACAAATAGAGAACGGATTAGATGTGTTGAATAATTGGAAAAATGTACGATTTGCATTCTTTATTCGTAAATTTGATTTTGCGAGTTACTATAGTGACGAAACGAAACGGAAGAAATCTAAACAACAGAATCTAGTACGAAACCAACTAAATCTAAGATAAAATTTGCTAAAACTTGTGATCATGACAGGACTGCTAATATACTGTTTTCGCTTGGTTGGATTCGCTAATCGAATAGGTCGTAGAGATGAGTTGATGAATGAAATCGATGCAAATGGTGGGTAGATTGTCTGCACGAAAATTTAAAAAAAAAATGACAACGTGAGATTAATATACATTTTTGTTTCGGATTGTTGTGATATATTTGTGATTTCTTTCCAACAATGACAGCCAATTCACTGTCTCCAGGCGATAGACAATGTACAGAGTTCAGTGTCTGTTGAAATGTAGCGGTTAAGAACAATTTGATATTTACTGATAGATAGTACAGTAGTATTTTCGGATTGACTCAAAATGTGATTTCTACGCAAGGAGAGAGCAGAGAGCATTTGTGAAGGAGTACCATTTTCCTGTTAGAAAACTATAAGTACTGGTCATAGAGATAGAGAGAGTCGTTTTTAAAACAAGTGAGACAACTGAAACAATTATCAAAAAAGTAGTTGTATACATACACTTATGAGTAAATATCGAACTATGGAAAACAAATAGAAATCAATACTAATGTAAACAATGAGATGATAACCACTTCTCTACTGTCAACATTCAGTGAACCGAAAGTTTGTTTTTACTTGTTGTCTGAAAATCATATACCAACCAGAGAGTGACGAGCAGTGCACAATGCATTCGGATTTGATACGGCATAGTGACAGCTAGCTGCTAGATTTCCCACAACGTATCAAATTCATGAAAAACGCATGAATGCACCGCTCTCAAGAATGTGTGTGAAAATACGAACAAAAGAAAACGATAACTCTATTGTTGGGGATGAACAATGACAGCGCAGCTTGCGTTTAGCTATACAACTACTACCAATATTGTTTGTTTATTTACTGCCCATACTGGTCCAACACACTCCGCACGTGCGGCGGCAATACCCGATCCCTCCGTTGACAATTCATTCACATTCAAAGCAGCGCATACTAATACTGATATATGTTCATACCGAGCCAGTTCAGATGGGTAAAATGAAAACAAAAACAAAATAATTCGAGCTAACCAGTTTGTTTTCCTCCCGTTGCCGGAAGGAAACACCTTTTGACATCCAGCGTACTCTCTTTCTTTTGTTATTGTTTTCGATAGCAAGCTCTGCTAAAACTACCATTTCTTTTTTTCTTTTCACTTGCTTCGATGAAAACCGATATCGAAATGTACAGACTAACCGGTGAGGGGGGGAGGGGCACTTTTACCAGTACGAGGGACTTGTTACTTGTGACACTTATAGAAAGAGAAAAATCAAATTCTATCACATTCAATGATTGCAGAAGAATGGAATAAAGTAAACTGAAACCAAATAGAGAAGGAAAGATAGAGTTCCGAAAATGCTAAAATTTAGTTTAATCAAAATGCCATTACGACAAACACATTCACAGTGGAGGAAAATGTTTGATTGAGTTTGTTGAAAGGGTGAATTTTGAGCTTGGAAATGAGATGACAGAATTAAAAAGGAACGCAAAAACAAACGCTACAGGTGAACTGAATGCAGAATTGTCCTTTCCAGAAATCTAAAACGTTGGAAAAAAATATATGAATGCAGCTCAGAACTGCGACTGCCAGCCAACGATTAGTTCACTGAATGTTCGTAAAACAGTTGCTAACGAGATAGAGAAGTGATCACAACCAATTGTTCGATCGTTCCTGGAAACGAAACAAAAGAAAAACTTTCTAAACAGTACAAACAAAAAAAATTACATAATAAAAACCATTCAAGAGGTTTCATTCCGGTTAAGATCAAGGAGAGCGGTCCGGACGGTTCACCGGTGTGCAGTCGGATTGGAGAGAATCAATTGCCGTAATTTCCGAGACTTCGGACTTCAGAGACTAATCGTTGACTGAGTGGAGGGGCATTTTCCAACGGATCCCCGGGGCAGTAGGCGAATCCACCACACTTTGTTCAACCAATCATAGATGGCACTGCACCGAAGTTGTCCAAGTTGCTCTTCATATATTTTTTACCGTGCGAGGAAGACAGAAGAGGGAGAAGGGTGACGGGGGTGGAGCGGGGATCAAACATGATGACAAGTGATCGTGAGGAGGCGGAGGAGGAGGTCAACGAAGCTGTCAAAAACCAAAAGTGATTTGTTTACATAGTTATTTGGCTTCGCCTACTGCTTGCTCACTCTCGGTGGTTTTTTTTTATCGGGGAGGATTATCAAATCTCACTAAAACTGGTTTTATTGGTTTAAATCTGTGTTGGATGTTTTTGCTGTTGTTGTTGTTTGTTGTTGTTGTTGTAGTTGTCTCAAACTTACCATAGTCACGTCATCGATTTTTGAGATACTTCTTACAAAAATGTTGACGCGAACAACGGCGGGGCCATCTTTGTTTTTGAGGGAAGCGTTTGTATTCGATTGTTATTTTTTTTTGGTTTTGTACAATTCGGATTTTTCGTTTTCATTATTATTTGCATATGTGCAACATTTACAGATTTGTACAGGGTCGCACGTATTTCAACAGACACAGATTTGGTTTGCACCCACGGCGGAACACAAGATGTGTCAAAAGCGGGTTTTATGAGCGTGCAGATTTTCGTTTTGGTTTTGATTTTTGTCAGATTATTTTGCGAGATTTATGAAAAAAGAAAGAAGAAGACATTCGTTGAGTCAATTTGGTTGATTTGTAATAGGGTGGATTGTATAATGCTTTTTGTGGTTCGGAAAATATGATGTTAGAACTGAGCAGCTTTCGTTGATTTGACTGAGGAACTCAAAATGTATACGAAACGGAAGCACAAAATTCATAACACTTGACGAAGAAGATAAACATCGAATTGTTGTTCACACTGTATTTGACGAGGATTAAGGTGTAATTATAGATTCGGTGTTTGTTTGGTGCATGGAATTATCTTCTAGGCAGCTGACTGAAAATAAAATATATGTAAAAATATGCAGAATGTTATTTTTTGCAATTGTTCTAAATTTTTTTTTCTTGATTGAACACTGGGTCGTAGCCTCGGTCGAAGCAAAGATATCCGATCATCAAGATGGTCAAGTGAGTGGTTTTCCCAGATAAACCTCAGGAGACATGTCTTTTTTTTTGGTACTTAGCGAACCAGCATTGAACTTTGGAAGGAATCTTCTTAGTATGCTGGTATCCACAAAGCTTGATACTCGGCTTTTTTGCGATGTATTGGAAATAGGGTGATTAGAGGGGGTATTTTTTAAGGTTCAATTTACTTTGATGCATTTTTTAAAAAAATCAAAAGCAGTTTTTTCGACGCATTATTTTAGATTGCAAAAAGCTCGCGTCATTTTGTGTAAAATATCAATCGGAATCGAATAGTGCGAGCTTTTTGCAATGCGTCGGAAAAAACTGCTTTTGAAATTTTCCAAAAAGCATCAAAGTAAATTGAACCTTAAAGCTGACTGACTGGTATTTTGAAATTGCTATAGGCTCTTTTGAAGCACCATAAATTTCGAGTACGCTAGGCGATTTTGAGAGGAAATGTCATCCAAACCGTTTGTTTACATCATAGTGACGATTTTCAAAACTCTAAATAACGTATATTTTACATCTAGCAAATTTCCATCGGGGAAACGATTTCAAGCACCTGCGGTGGGTAAATTAATCAGCGCAGGTGAACATATTTTCCTATGCTAAAAGGTGAAAATTTCAACCCTTATCACTCTTTTGAGGATTCCCCTAGTCACCACCAGAGACTGAAACTATCGCTTGGTTTCTATTGGATTCACCTATTGAATTGGCATATCGAAGTTGGCTCCCGTGGAGAATCCAAACAAGACCGACGGAAAACAAATCAAGGGAAAAAATGATCCTCGATTTTTACAAGTTGTTTCGCAAGTATTTCATGATATTCTGTGAAAATTTCAGCCTTTTTGATGAAGGTATTCTGATATATCTTTGTTCACGCCGAACGTGAACTGCTTAAGAGTATACTTATTTTGACCACCATGACCACCCACCATAGCCCATAGTGCAGAAAGGCAGATTCTCTCCTTGCTACCTTACTTGAGATTCCACTGTTATCGTATCATCCTATCACCTAAACAGCTGATAGCAGTCGATACTGAAAAACAATAGTTTGACTATTTTGAGCCTCTCCACTATTCTTCATAGATCTCATATAATCATTCGGGGCTGACTGGAGGCTATTGTCCTATCTATACCCACAGGATCGATGGATTTTTATAAAGCTGGTCAATCGTATACAAGGACAGTATAGCAGATAGTGTACACTTCCAACCGCTCTCCACCTTTCCCCCCCTTTCCCCAACAGCAATAGCAGCAGCTCAGTAGCAGTAGAATCAAACGAGGAGTTAGTTTGTTGACCGCCGAAGCAAACGGTCCTCTTATGCACGGACAAACTCCGTGCATCGCGCGCCCTCGCTCGACCTGTCGCACCTCTCACCCACAGACTGGGAAAGGGTGTAGTAAGAATTGTTTGGACAATTTTACAGTAAAGTGTTTTTCATGCGTAAGATTACTGCACCCTCGGCCCTGAGTATCGGCCAGTCATTCCCGGCGTCAACAATCTTGGTATTTTGAAAGATAATTAGATAATTCCATTTACTTCAAAAGAACTTCCCTGAACTTCGGCAGAACTTCCCTGAATTTCGGTAGAACTTCTCTGAACTTCGGCAGGACTTCGCTGAACTTCAGCAGGAGTTCCCTGAACTTTGACGAGCCTTCCCTGAACTACGGCAGGACTTTCTTGAGGTTCGGCA